ATGCAACAGCTGATACTGCATATAAGCTTGCAAAAGAGGAATTTTCAAGAGTATAGACAATGTAAATCCAAGAGACATTCCTGCCTTCCAACATCCTTGGTCTTAGGTATTGTATTAACAAATTTTTAGTTTTTATTTCATGATTTTTTGGCCTGAAAAGGTGTAACAAAGTGTAAGATTGCCATAAGACAAAGACGAGGTCAGAAACAGAATAGCAACAACACAGGACTAAACAGAGACGACAGCACATGCTTAGAGATCATGTCAACATATGTACACTACACCTTAATGGTTAACTCTGGTGACGAGCACTGTGGGGAACCTCTCAATGTAACAATAATTAAAGTTGACAGAGACGTGTTATGTTTTTTTCCATCCAGGTCCATTGGTGAATAGAGAGATCATGCTAGGTAGTTGATTGTGATCTAACCCATTGATTCCCAGTGATGTAGCCATCATGTCTTGAAGAAATATTGCTGAGTTGGTGGATGATATGGACATGCTGTCATGGAACATTAATGAGGGCCTGGGAGATGGAACTTGCTGTAATTTCCAGCTGTAAAGGTAGGGTGGAATGGAATGACTTGCCCTTGGTTCCCAAACTCATGAGGGGCATTAGACTCAATGGCTTTTAGGAAGTGGCTCTTGCCTTATTTCTGTATGGTAAATGAGCGTTGCATATGCCATCCATGGCCATAACTGGAAGAGCTCTGGCTCCAGGAAGTCCAACTTTTTCCATCCTTAGGATCCTATTCCTATTATATATTATTTTATATATATAATCAGTATATAATTATTAATTTTATTATATATAGTATATATATATATAAGATTATATAATATATATATAATAATATAATGTATAAATAAATAAAAATATGTATGTATGTGTGTGTGTATTTTGAATAATAATAAGTTTTATAATAAAAATATATATGTATATATAATATATATCTATATTATATATATATATTAAATATTTATTTATATATATGTATGCATATATATATGATATAGATATATATATATATATATATATATATATATATATATAGTATATATATAGATGATATATATATATATATATATATATATTTGCCTGGATTTATGTTCTGCTCCCTCTAGTTTTTGTTGTGAATGTTGTTACATACAGATGGCTCCACGTGTGCTCAGCTGGCAAGAAGTCTATCCAGTAACCCTAGTGACTGATCTTGATTTCCCCATTCCTTGAATTGGCGGGAAAATGTGTTTTCTTTTTAATACTGTTATTATTATTATTGGATTTATGATTATTAAATTGTTATTAAAATCTCAATAACATTTAGACAATCAATATGCCAAACCTTTCCCAAAGTCAAGCAAAAAGGTAACAGGTGAAAGGTAAGACTAATAGCTACTCTTTGTTGACTAAGCAACTTGTAAGGCACTTGTGTGTATTACCTCAATAAACTTGTATTACATTGGGCATGACAGGTATTATTGCTGTACAGGGCAATTGGGTTTAACCAATGCCAACAGGCATGAAGTGTACAGTATGCCATATATATTATGTATATATGTTTATGTATATATTATTGTACATATATTATAGTAATATATTATATATGTACATATACATATTCATATATCTCACATATAACATATATATGTACATATACGTACATATGTATATATATTACATACTATTAATACAATGTTTTTTTACCAATATATTGTGTATATATAAAATATGTGTTATATATATATGTGATTATTAATTAATATAGCGTCCATTTCACTACCAATTGTAAAACCGTCAGTAATCATCAGGGACTGAAGATACATAGCTTGGTCCTTCTGCACAGGTACTGTCATCTCCAATTACCTCTTGTCGAGAGTTTCATGACGCCCTACTGCCAGGATCTCTTAGTTAAGCCCCCAAAATCCTGGATCTTGGTCTTGTCCCGGAGACCTCTAGGCCCATTGCTCACAGTGACTTTGGACAGTAGCCTTGAAACAGCAATTGCAAAACAAAAGAACATTCTGTGCTGACATAAGTAACCCACCCTCATGCGGAAGATGCCTTCACATCATCTACCCATAATCCAGTCCACATCCTTGCCTCACTCCTGACTAACAGGGAAGAAAGCTCAAGAGGCCCCCACCACACTTACATCACTTTCAGTGCCAGTCTACTGGTTTGCTATTAATCCAATTCTCCTTGTTGGAATTTCTCCCAGGCTTCTTGAGGTCATTGTAGCTCTGCGAGCAGCCCATGTCCCACACTCACGATATGCTCTGCAATGACTTAAAGTGCCAGGATGGGGAGTACCTTGCAACTCACGATGGGGCTCTAACAGTGACTCAAGTTTATTGTGGTACATACTAGAGTGAATCCAGAATGCTGTGGCTCAGGGGTTTCTGATATGTCTCAGGAGGATGTGCGCGAGTACCTTGGCTTGGTATATTGTGTTGTGTAATGCCGTGTTATTGCTGCAGTCCCACCGATCCATTTCCCCTTCCAAGAGGGATGAGCACCCCCTCAGCAGGTTAGGCTGGTACAGTCTGCCAATAGCAGACCTCCAGAGACCCTCTAGTCCCGGGCATCACTTCAATTGTTAAGTAGTGCATCAAGATCCGCACTAGGGTTTTCCAGAATTCAAGATTGAATAGCAACACATCATCAAAGTCAAGGTCTCTAAGCCTTGATTTTCCTAGAGTTGCTCCCAGTGACTTGGACAGTAGCTCTACCAGTATCCAGTCCATCAAGTGTGAAAAGTGTTTGGTGCAAGAACCAGCCTTGCCTCACTCCTGAACTAACATGGAGAAGCCAAGAGGGCCCCACCACACTTTACAGCACTTTCAGTGCCAGTATACTGTTTGCTATTAATCCATATCCTTGTTGGAATTTCTTCTCTAGAGCCTCTTGAGGTCACTGTAGCTGCGAGCAGGCCCATGTCCGAACTCACGATGGTGCTCTACAATGACTCAACTCCATAATACGGCTTAATTGTGGACTTACTAGAATTGAATCAGATTGCTGTGGCCTCAGGGGCCTCAGCAGGTGTTCTGATACAATATCAGGAGATGTGTGCGGTACTTGCCTGGTATTTGTGTTGTAGTGCTTGGTTATTGCTGCAGGTCCCACCGATCCCCTTTCCCCTTTCCAGATAGGCAACACGCCCTCAGCAGATCAGGGGCAATGGTAACCATTCTGTCAGTAAGACATGACAGCATGCAGCCCTTGCCATCCAACCAACGTTCTCTACCAGCCTTTCCACTGTTCAGTTGGGATGCTGCAACACCTTCTGCTTCCTACTCTTCAGCTTGGAGATTGCCCTCTCTGACTTCAGTCAGGGAGGGTGGATCATCGCTGGGGTGGGTCCTGGTAAAGGAATCTCAATATTTTTAAAAAAAAAAACCCACATCCAATTAAATTGTTTTTGATCTACCTTGGTACAACTCCTCAGAATACTCACCCCAATGCACGTGCAAACCCCTTCAGGATCTGAGATTATCTGCCACTGCTGAGGCGGAAATACATTGTTTGTGAGGAGGGCTTTCTCAGGCTTGGTAAGCAGATTAGGTCAATTACCTAGGAATGGCTTTCGACCTCCTCTGCAGATTCCTGATAACTGTTCCTTTATCCTTCTCAACCAGTGACTTTTTGCGATCCCCTGCAATCTTAACGCAAGGCAAGCATCTGTGGCGTCCGGTGTCTCCCGCGCGATGAAATTTCCGTCCTGCTCTTGGGCATTTACCAATCAATTCTTGGGCTGCATCAAGATTCCATGCTTGAAGGTGTCCTCAGAAGAACAGGTCCCATCAGCCCCTGAGTGCTGAAACGACCAGAGGCTAGCCTCAGCCACTCACCTCCCTCAATCTGTCCACATGAAGCACCTAAGGTGGTTCATGTGGAGGTTTCCTAAAGTGAACCCAAGAGTAGCCACAACTAATCTGTGACAGTTCCACAGAACTTGGCAGTCTGATACCCCTGCAGTTTCGGAGGATCCTCCATCGAGTGCTAATGAGGATGTGCTTGATCTCTTTGCCCATTAAACCCGTATTGGCTGTACCAGTCCAATGATGTGGGGTCATAACTCGTTGATACTGAAGATCTGAGATCCTCAATTTCTGGGACCTAGGAAGTCACGGAAAAGGAGGCTATTCTCACTGCCAGCATCACTCCTGAGCCTGAGGCCGACAGACATCTTATAGCCAGCTTGGTTCAACCAGAAACATTAAACGAATAACTTGCCCAAGGACCGCTGTCTTGTCAGATGCAAGTGTAGCATAAACAGCTCTCACATCAAGTTTATACCATCTGTAGGCGTGTACACAACAATAAGAGACATGAAGCCAAATGGTTAAGCTTCAGGGTCTCATACCATTATACGCTCTCTAAAGGAGTGACACTCTACTACAGGGGGTTGAAGTCTGCTGGAGATGGCTATGGCTACTACCTGGAGATGGTGGCCCTCGCGCAGCCCAACCAATAACAAGTGTACCACCCACACTAATCGTGCTGCTGCTGGACTTACTCACCAAGAGAGCCGCCACCTCAACTCTCAGCTGCTTTAGTTCCTTCAGTAGTGGTCACCGAATCGTCCTTCGCAAGGACGGACCGTTCAAGCCCCCATGTAACGCCACCTCTACCACCCGCCATCAGCCACCCCGCCCATATAGAGATGCTGGCTGCAGGTTCCATGGCTTTCCCTCACAAGCCTCACGCCAGGTTGGCGGCCGCCGGGACGCAATGGGCAATGAGTAACCACCATTTCTAACCAAGTCCCAACTGTCACAACCCAGTGGGACCCACAGCCCGCCTTACTTGCTGAGTAGGAGGGACGTTAACCCTCCCCCAACATCTATATGATTTGCTGCAGTTCGGTTTATCTTGGGTTGGCAGACTGCAGAGCCTACTCCTCACAGCTGCCCATTAACCCCAAGGGGCATGTTGTTCGAGGTCCATGGCTCTGACTTGATCTGATAGCCCAGAGACTGGACAAATACCAAGATATGTAAGGCTCTCTGTTCAACTCTTCACTGCAAGCTATGAATCAACTGAACAGTTTCCCTAACAGCCCCAAAGTTTTGTAGTCCAGGAGCCTCTTAGGGCCAAGGGCT